TAACTCTGCTCGTGCAGCAGAGAAGCTTCGAGGCCTGACGAGCCGCTCTGTTCACGTTCACAGCCAGCGTCCGAGAGCGGAGAGGAGCTCTTTTGGGTCCCAAAGCAAGGCAAGGAAAGAGCAGCAAATGTTTCGCTGTTGGGTGCAGAGGAATCAGGATGAAGTGAACAGATTTCCTGTGTTTTTTCAGAGTCAGTGGAAGAGGGAGTGTGTGTCTTGTCCTTGTGTCCAGGAGTGCAAAGTGGGACAGAGGAGAAACCAGCCTGGGCTGTGGGGTCAGGGACAGGGTGGACCACAGGGTAGATGGTGGAGCTCTTAGGTATAGACAGAACAACAGGAGGTGTTGACAAGGAGGGAGGAGAGGAAATGGATGATTCCACCTAAAGAAGAGGAGTCAGAAATATTAGGCTGAGTAGAATAAAATGATGAAAGCGCAGAAACAAGATCATTAAAGGTTATCAAACGCTAAAGTGAAGAGGAGCGGTGTAACGTTTACCATCTTAGAATCACTGCTGGGAATTAAACTGAAAGTTGTTTTGCAGGACTTCTAAGTGTCAAAAACAAAAACTGCAAACTGTCTAAACCTCCCAGATGATGTCATTTTGTCAGACAACCAATTAAAGAGCAGAAAAGCAGCCAGCTGTACATCTCAAACATGCATTAGTCCCAATTTAAGCAGTAAAATGATTAAAGAATGAACATTTTCATGCCAATAGTATAATACACAACCTGCGGTAGACAAAGAGGAGCTGCTGAGGGTGATCTGCTCGAGCCTGGAAACATGGAGGAGAGGAGGCTAGCTCTCTCTTTTATACTCCTCCTGGAAAAGTCCCTAGCAGACAGTCTCTGGTCTTTACTCTAAAGGAACAGCAGGTGGCGGTCAAAGTTGGAACGGATTCAAAATAAATAAATACTGTAAAGAACTGGTGTGACATTCACCTGCCGCATAACCCCCCCTGATCTCTCAGAGGACTGCCCAACACCCAGAGCAGACCGAGGAGAGGGAGAAAGACGAATAGGTGAGAGGTCTGGAGAGGTGCGTTCTGGGTAGTAATGTTCAGGAGAGTCAGGGCTCAGTGAGCGAGGAGGACTCAACGGGCTCTTTGAGCGCGGGGGCGATGGAGACCGACTGCAGGCGCGCCGAGTGTGAGAGAATTCGGGGGAGGAGAGGAAAGTAGCGGGATTCTCAAGCAACTGAAGGTAGATGGAAGGCTGGGTCAAAGGCAAGAGGAAATGGATTATGCACAGATGCGCACAGATGCTACATGACATATTGGAAGAAGTTCAGAGGCGCTCAGAGGCAAGCATACCTGCCACTTGGGGCGAGTGGGAAGCAGACTAGGAGGAGGAGGAGTGTCATCTTTGGGCTTTGCAAAACGGGGATTTTCTCTCTCCACTTCCCCATCTTCCTCATCCGATGAAGGAAGTGGGGAAGTTGGAGGAGACTGAGCAGGAGAATAGGATGGATCTGATGGGTCCTGATCAGACGGAGGCGTGGATAGGAAAATAAAAAGGAAAGGAAAGAGTGAGAAAAGGGTGTGCAGAGCATGAAAGGGTTACTTTGCAAAGAAGCCAGTTTGTGATATGAGGACAGCAAGTAAAAACAAATGCATGAGGAAGATGCAGGCATTAAATCAACTCTCCAAAGTAAAAGCAAAAAATAGACTGACCAAGATTTGGATGTAAATGCTCCATCATGAGAAAGGAAGCTCATAATATCAATATACCACGTTTACCATAAGATAGTATTATTGAATTTAAATGAAATACACTCACAGAAAATACTTCAAAGATGAAGTATTGAGTCAGACACTTTTTCCTTCTGGTGTACCAATAAATAAACCTGCAAACAGCATTCTTTAACCACTTTAAAACTGCATCACGTTCTCCGTCAAAGCTAAAAGATTACAGACAGATACAACGACAGCCAACTGTTCTGCAACACATCCGATTGAGGCAGGCAAATCTTAAGTAAATTAACAACCTTTAAGACCCTTTACATATTCAGAAAGACAGAAACCCCACAGGCGACACAGACTGCTCAGACAGCAGAGGAAGTGGAGGGAGGATGAGGAAATAAATACCAAACTCACCTTTGTTCGAGCCTTTACTGTTGCAGAGTTCTCCTCAAATTTGGCCAGCAGCTGAGTTGCCATGGAGCGGACTTTGTTCTCCCGTTGTTCCCCATCCTCACCAGCAGGGGGAGCACTGTGACAGGACAACTGGCATCACACACAGGAGAAAGAGAAAGTGAGATCAATTTGAAAAGCAAACAGTGGCATTACTCACATTGCTTGGAAGAATGAAGCTATTTCAAAGAAGAACCTACCTCTGTGAGGTAGTGGTTGCCCTTTCGCCGTTTCTTGTTATCAGAATCTTCCTCCAGTTTCTTGTCATCCTGCAGCATCAGACGACACAAACATAAACAAAGTGCATTTCACTTTCATCCGTCAAAAAACAAAAAACATAAAAAGGCTTTAAAAGAGGCAAACGTGTGGGAAATTTCAAAATAAAAGGCTGTTGTACTCTCAATAAGCCAAAACTTGCAAACCTGCAGGAGTATTAAACACAAAGCAAACCTATTTATCACAACAGATGCTCTACACTAATACGCCTTTTTCCTCCGGCACTCATAAATCCTATGCACACTAACAGCTAAGGTTAGATAACACACGCATTACAAACACTACTTTGACCTTTAATGATACCTGATCTCTAATCTAATTTCTATGACTACTGTTGAGCAGCAGAAACGTTCAGATCAAATCAATATCACACAAAAAGCAGCAAAAAGCAAGAATCAGTATTTCTCCTTACCCCGGGAATCCTCTTTCTGGGCTGAGGCAGGTTTAGCGCCTTGTGGTTGGTTTTAGATTGATAATCTTCACCATTTTCATCTCCTTCTCTGGAAACTGGAAAATAAGCAAAATACAGTTTACATACAAGTTCTCTAATCTTTTCAGGAAATTCTGCAGTTCAAGAAAATGTAAAATTACTATTAAGATCAAATGTCATTACAAAGCTTGCTGGAAACAATAAAATTCCCATTTTAGAGGTGGATTTGTTTGCAAGTGCAACACTTGTTGATTTGAGTAATGAAAAACAAAAAAAAACCCTGTATGCGTCACATACAAGGCAGCGGGAGAGAAGGACACAAAAGCTCCCTTTACATGAACAACCACCACTGACAGGTGGAGTAAAAATCGCTGATCACTTGTTTTCAGAGCAGCTTTAATGGGACTTTTTAGGTCCTGACAACCTAGAGGATAAAATAAATTGATGCAGACACACTGTTCTGCCTTTTATAACTTAAATTGGATATTATAGTTGTAAACTGCCCCTGAGCTCCCTCTAGTGGCCGCTTTGTAATATGGGTTTGGTTACTTTGGGAAGGAAAAAAATGAGAACGTGAAGAAGAAATAAAAGATGGCGGAAAGTGATACCGTAATGTTATTGTTCTAAGCTAATACGGACCTTAAAATGTTGTTGCCTTGGACAAGATATGTCTGTAAGTATGAGTGTCGATAAAATAATTATTATCTTTTGTTTTGTGTAAAAATGGTTTGATAATTTGTACATTTGAAAGTTTTATCTTGTTAGCTTGCAGTAAGAGTGTAACAAGCTAGTTTTCAATGTTAGTTCGTTAATACAGTATTTTGTACTTTCAGTTTTACGATGGTCAAAGACCATTCTTCAATAAATCAGCGCAAAAAGGAAATAAGTCTGGTTATTGGAGCATCGTTATCTCGCTGTCTAGCTGGTGAAACTAAGAGACTCAGGGCGAGGACAGCATACACACTACCCTGCTGAAACAGCAGTCCCCAGCAACAGCGGTCCTCCCATAATTAGACAACGCGCTGGACAACACTGTCAAAAATGGTTTAAGGAAAATAGCAACACAGGACTCAAAACTACCAATGCCCAAATCGCAAATTCCAAAAAACTAAATCTCAGAAACTACAGGTCAAGTTCATGAAAATAGAGTTTCATTAAAGAAGCATGACTTGTTTGGACAGGTTGCCGGGAGCAAGATTATTTCTTAACATGGCAGCGCAGCCAAGTGTGCACAGTCGCATCTGAACAAACCACGAGACTTCTGGAACAGTGTCCTTTGGTCAGACGAGACCAAAGTGGAGATGTTTGGTTTTTGCCAGACGTGGCTCTGTGCATTAATAACCAAACAGCATGTCAGCAAAAACACCTCACTCTAACTGTCAAGCACGGCGGAGGAGGGATGATGGTTTAAGCTTGTTTTAAAGACACGGGACCTGAACATCTTCAACCACAGACTCCTCTGTATGCCGGGACGGCACTGAACACAGAACTGTGCCCTCCTGCATGATCCAGTCATCTTGGAAAAAAGCCTAAAAACCATTAAAACCCCAGGAAGTCCCACTTTAAGCACCATCTTTGCTATTGTGGAATTGTTTGAGTGCCATGTAACATTAGCATAGGGGAGGTGGGCGGAGATCAGTATTCAGCAACTTTTATCAACTGCCTGAAGGCCTTTTCCACAAAGCTGATGCCCAAAGCGCTTGCTTCACATTTAGAGTCTAACACTGCTCTACATGTTTACCTCCCTCACTATTTTTTTCTACTTTTGGTTATGTTTGATGTCACTAAGTGCAATATTCTTTATAAGGCCATCTCAGACTCGCTGTGTTGGCTATGAATACAGAAATCCTGCCCACCTACTGCTCAAATCTGCCGTTTGCAGAACCCACTTAAAAGTCAAAAAAATGGGAACAAAAAATGTGAATTATTTTGATATTAGCTATTTTATTTGAGTCCAAGAATAAAAACATGGGACTGGAAACAAGTCCTGTTTAAACTTAGATAAGTCTAAACTTAGATAAGGCCAAGTCTGAGCAGTGGACTTGAATAATTAGACCAGGGTTCATCCTTAGACTCCAAATAAAAAGGAACTAGAGTAAAAACTATAATGCATCTTTCCAAAATAACCCAAGGCTATTCAGCAGCACAAAGGGGCCCAGTGTAAAGACTAAATATAAATAAAGTCATGCACTTAAATATCCTAAATAAACTGAAAGTCAGTCATATTTCCATCCTTTGAGTTCAGCGGTGACAGCAGAAGTCTGCAAACACCAACATTAAAGTGCGTTAGGTAAAACGTGGCTGAGGCTGCAACTCGCAGTGGTGCTGGACCTGAAGGCCTCCAGAGTTACGCCAAGCGACTGGATATGGCTTCCACAGACATAGCTCGCATACCACTCAGGTCTCTGGCAGGGACCGACTCGACCACAGTTGTGTAACATGTAACTTTAGCTCATGCAGAAGACTCAGCTGGGACTATAATTTAGCAGAGGGACTTCTCCGCAATTTAAAAAGACAATGAAAATGTGTCCACAGCAGCAGTAAGCAGCATCATCCATCATTGTCTACCAACCAAAACACTAGAAGGACCTTGATGCGATCCATGTGAGGATATTTTCTCAAGTATCGTTTTGCCCTTTAAGAGAAATAAGTGAATGGAGAGCCTTGTTTTCACAGCTTTTTTGGGTTACATACAGCATTTCACATTTTTTGGCAAATGGATAACTGCCTCGACCGCTTCCCCGTCTGTGTGTTCAGGGTTAGATCAATACACACGGTTAAATGTTCATTTCCTGTCCCTAAACTGGGGTCGGGAGGTCAGGTTTTAGGGCTACTGTTTCCAGTCCAAGAAATTTACAGTTAAAGATACGATAAAGACTAACTTTAAAAAACAAAAACAAAAAAACAACAACAACATTGGGTTGTTCATGATTGAATTTAAAAAATTCATGTGAGAATTTTTGTGGTTCTGTGAGGAAGAAGCCGACCTTTGTTTGCTGGCAAGTTCCTGAAGGCCTCGTAGAACTTGGAAAGGTACAGGACCATCAGCAGCTTATCGGGTTGAGAATCTGCAGCCATCTCCTTTCCTGTCGTCACCGGTTGGATGCCAAACTCTCGCTCAGCCACATCAAACGCCAGCTGATTGTTCCCCGCCACGTCCTCCTCGTTCAGAGAGTCATAATCACTGAAATGGAAAAGGAGATGAAGGTGAGGTTAGGAGATGTGTGTATACGCTCAGGAAGTTTCTTCATACATATTCCATATACTGAAAACAATCTAGAGATAGAGCCGTTTGTGGAGGCTAACTCAAGCCATTTATTTAGCTTCTAGATTTTACAGATGTCCCGTAAATGCTTCACACATTAGTTGTTTTTAGCTTTGCTCTAAAGGAAAAAAGCCAAAATCATTTAAAGTCATTAGCCAAAATACAGATCTGCACTGTGTTCAAGTTAAGATGGTGACAGCTTGAGGCTTCACGACAGCATACATAAAGCAGTCTATGCTTGCTGACTATTTGAGGGCATTCCAGTGACTCCTGACGGCTCCAATACAGCAGGAAATCAAGCAATTAATAGTTCGAGACCCCTGATTTAAATGAAGGCAACGCAGTTAGCCTTTGTGCTAGAGAGAAAATAATGTGCTTCCTGAAAGATGGGGATTTTTTTTTTCCTTTTAAAGTCAAAATGACAAAATAAGTCTGTTAAGTCTGCTGGTCAATAAAGAGTTAAGGTGCACGAACATGTCAACATCTCTGCACGTGGAAATTGATGGTATGTGTGGAATCAACAGCTCAGCGCTAAGACAGCCATGCAGGTGACGCGTGTCACAATTTTCAGAGTGCTGATGTCATTACAACCCATCACTGTGACCGTTTACATGCAACTGAAAGAGCCAATAAAACCGTTGACCGTTATGTGAGCAAGAAATCAAACAAAAGTCAGTGGTTCTTCTTGCTGGTGACTTTGCATGCAATTTAAAAATTGAGCATTGCACAAGA